CAAGTTTCTGTTAAAATGATGAATGATAATTTAGTACCTAGTGCTGTAAGTAGTGCATTTATATCATCAAAATGTTTACCAAGTGACCTAACATTTTGGTTGTAAACTGATAAGCAGGTGCTATTTAGGAGTTTGTTTTTTCCAAGATTTGCTGTGTAATACCTGCAATAATGATGATCAATGTGCTGATTTGTGTGGATATGGGACAGAAGATTTCGATCAGGATCAATATCAGTAAGCATATAGATAAAATAATGTCACGATACAATAAGATAAGCAATTACAGGAACAGATAAATACTAAATCTGCTGTAAAATAGAAAGTAATTATAGCAAAACACAGCAATATAATAATATAACAATACAATAAGAGCTTACAAAGTATTGAGTCTGCTAAATTAGAGAATAATTATGGCAAAAACACAACAATAAATGCAAGTAAACAAAAGAATTGAAACAATTAGAGGTAGAATAGAGGTCACTAGATAGCCATGGAGGATACACAAGTTTGGTGGAGAGAACAAAAAATCAGTAGAGACTGTCAAGATGAATATATAAAAAATTTGACAAATGATGATTGTAAAGTAAAATAATCTTAAAGATAATAGATTTTATTTAGCTTAGTTTTTAACCTATAATTAGTATGAACTTAATTAAAAGAACAAAATGAGATCAATAATTGATTTCAATAAATGACATAAATCAATACAATTAAATTTAAAATTTAAATGGAATAGGGTAAGATTAGATTTAAGAGTAAAATTTTACAATGAAACTGAGGTAGATGCTTGCATAAGTGCATGGAGACTTGATGGATTATTTAGGAAATTATATGAATGAGAGAACATCAGGTAAATGGTAAGGCAGAGACAGCACCTTGGACAAGGTGCTGTCCAAGGTGCTTGTATGAAACGCAGCGCATACAAACAGATGGTGCCGTTTGCTATGAACATGACATCACCCAACCCTGCCCTCTAACCCAACCCCTTCCTCTCACTCACTCCCTGCCACTCACCCACCCTCTGACTTCCACCCACTCCCTGTCTCCCAGCCACCACCCCTGCATCTCACCACCCGGAATGGCCCTACTCATGAGAAAGGAATGGAGTTTTAACGAGATGGTTATCCCGGGCTGCGAGGGGGTTCAGAGACTACATAACAGGCACCATGACGATGGGAGGACCAAGAGTAGTAGCAACAGTGATATATAACCCTCCACTAAACGACAGAAGATCCAGGCAAGAGTATGACAGAAACAACATGGCAGTTTACAATATAATTGAGAGAGCTTCATCTGCTGCACGAAGAATTCGATCCCATCTGCTCATCATGGGGGACTTGAATCGTGGAAGGATAGACTGGGAGAACAAGGAACCGTATGGAGGAGAGGAAACATGGAGAGCTTAACTATTGAAGGTGGCAACAAAATTCTTTTTAAGCCAGCATGCCAGGAAACCCACAAGAATGAGGGGAAACGATGAACAAGCGAGACTCGACCTAGTCTTCACTCTGAACGACTCCAACATAAAGAAAATCGGCTTCGAGGCCCCGTTAGGAATGAGCGACCACAATGTACTGGCGTTAGAGTATCTGGTCGAAGAAGGGTTAATGTACTTAAGGAAGAGACCTGAAAACCAAAGACTGGCATCCCATAAGGGAAACTATGTGGAGGTAAGAAAATGCCTAACAGATGTAACATGGGAAACAGAGCTCAGAGAAAAGACGGCCCAAGACATGATGGAATACATCACGCAGAAGTGTAAGGAGGCAGCAGACAAGTTTATCCTGGTCCAAAAGGGAAAAAATCATATGCAGATGAGAAACCCATGATTTAATCAGAGATGTAATCCAGCAAAGCAACTAAGTAAAAGGGGGGGGGGAGAAACTATAGAAATAACAGGACACTTGAGAGTAGAGAAGGATACCAGAGAGCCAGGAATGAGTACGTCAGGATGAGAAGAGAGGCAGAGGAGCCATACGAACACGACATAGCAAGCAAGGCGAAGACTCAACCTAAATTGCTGCACAGCCACATCAGGAGAAGAACAACATTGAAGGAACTGCTAATGAAACTGAGGATAGGAGCAAACATATTCACTACAAACAATCAGGAAGTGTGCGAGGAACTCATTACGAAATTCCATGTCTTCACATTAGAGCAAGAAGAAGTTCCAGAGATAAGAAAAGGAATAGTTAACCAGGCACCACTAGAGGAGCTAGTGGTGGATGACCAGTGGGGATGTCAGGAAGCTTTTGCTAGAGTTAGCTGTGACAAATGCTATGCCCGGATGGAATATCACCTTAGATACTAAATGAAGAAGCAGAAGCACTGTGCCTGACACTCTCCATGGTGAGTGGCTTCGGAGGCCTGTGGCCTCTGAGACCTCCATACTAGGTGCGAGGGAAGCCATGGTTGCCGCCTGAAGAAGAGATCAAAGGAACATAAGGTGTCGCCCAAGCAGTCATGCGGCCTCAAGCTGGAACACTTCCCACTCGTTCCTCACGTGTTCAACGCCTAAGAGCTTCGGCAAAGGTTCGAAACTTAATCTTTTATTTACTTGTAATAGAAATGATTATAGAGTTTACCCATGAAATGTAGATTCTCCATGGTGCATAACATATCATTGGTAACAGGTGAACTGTCACGTGTTATCAATGGGTGGACAGGTAAAGAAGTCTGTATGGGTGGGGATGAGGAGAGGTTGACTAGTTTAGCAGTTACCAGGGAGGATGTTATTAAACAAATAGTAAAACTCAAAGCAAACAAATCCCCAGGGCCGGAAGAAGTGTTTGCCAGGGTGCTTAAAGAATGCAAAGAGGAGCTTTGCGAGCCACTGTCTACCATATTTAATAAATCAATAGAGTCAGGCAGAGTGCCAGAGTCATGGAAGGTAGCTAATGTGGTACCAATTTTTAAGAAAGGAGATAGATCACTTGGTTCAAACTATCAGCCAGTTTGCCTAACGTCTATGGTGGGAAAGTTACTTGAATCGATAATTGCAAATACAATTCGTCTTCATCTTGAAAAACATAAATTAATCAATGATTTGCAACATGTATTTTATAAATGGCCGTTCATGTTTAACAAATTTGCTATCATTTTATTCCAGCATAGTTTAGGTAGTTGTTAGTGGTAAGGTTTATGATGTTGTGTACCTTGACTTTAGTAATGCTTTTGATACAGTGCCACATGAATGACTGATTAAAAAGATAGAGGCTCATGGTATTGCGGGTGCTATATTTAGTTGGATTAGGGCATGGCTATACCAAAGGAAACAGAGAGTTAATATAAATGGGGGTTAAGTTAGAGTGGGAAAATGTTGTAAGTGGATTGCCTCACGGCACTGTCCTGGGATCTCTGTTGTTAATAATATATATAAATAATATATACAGCCTTTGACATGATTGGGAAGGTCAAGTCCACATTCTGGGTTCCTTGATTTGTAGAGCATTTTTAGTTCGGTTGAGGCGCATTCTTGGAATATCAAATAGGTATTTGTTTCTGGTGTGGTGCCCATGGGTTCTGTACCAACTTTCTAGGAAGCGTTTAAGGTCAGGATTGGCATTACTGTTCAGAGTTTTAAATATATAGAGTACACATGAGAGGATGTGCAGTAACTTAATATCTAACATATTTAAAGATTTAAGTAAGATTTAAGTAAGATTTAAGTATATATATATATATATATATATATATATATATATGGGTTAGCTGTGGATATGTTATATCTGCCTTTAATGTCAGATCTGGATCTGAGATCTGATCCTGGATGATCTTTTACCAGTGCGTTAATGTAGGCATATGTGGGGACCATCTACTGTCTTTTTGGTTTTGAAGATTGCCCTTGGCAGTGGCTGCTCTTGGGTTCTGACAGATTGGCTTCTAAATTGATTTCTTCGGGCGTTTCTTCGGTTCTTTATCGTTTATTTGTCTTTCCGTTTCCTACAATTAGCCAAGGTGGCATATTGTAAGTAGGGATATCCTCTGGTTCATTGTTCCTGTCATCTTCAGCAAATTTTCCTTGCTCGTGTCACGAGATTACTGTGTTCTTCTGACCTTAATAATTTCATAAGGATGGTCAGGAGAGTCATTTCCTAGCGGGACATGGTCGCACTGCACTGAACTGCGCAATGGAGCGATGCACTTGTGAGGTATCTGAATACTGGTGTGTGGTGGTGGTATGAATGATCGGGAAGAGAAGAAAGGCTTTCTTCAGTAAAGTGACGAGCAAACCAGCCGGCCGTAGCGATAGTGAGATGGCATCTTCTATCAACACTCCCCGTGCTGGAGGTGTTAGCTGATTGCCCTGGTCGAGTTTGCCCTCTGGTACTAAGCTTTAGGTACTGTGGTCTACCGAATAAAAGTACACTTCAGAGAGGACCAGACCCTCACCCAGTCAAAGATTCTCGAATTGATCTCCATCAAAACCACCGTTGCACAATTAGATGTGATCGACGATGGAGGACCCCAAGTGCTGTTCATCAGTGCCGGAAGTGCTCTTGAGGAGGCGCATCTGATCCTCACCCCATCTCGTCACTATCTTGCAGTTAGGACGGTGTTCGTTCACAGAGAGAGCTCCCTGATCTCCGAGAAAGCCGTCACCGACGTAGTCGCCAGCATCAACGAGTCGAGCTCTTCATTGACTGCTGTCACTGTCAAGTTCATCATTGTAACTAACAGCCACCTCACCAAAATGAAAGCTTCAGGACACCGGAAGAAGCTTCCTTTGCTGCCGACAACGAATTTTGCTGCTTTGGTATCGCCAGCATACCTCACCAGATTACAAAGGAACGTTTCTATTGACTTCATCAATGTTATAAGTGCTACAACTACGATAACTTCACGAAGAAGTGCACTCTCCAGGACCAAGGTGCAGCAAGTGCACCGGGAACCACCACTTCAAGGACTGCATCAGCGACTGTGTTCGCTGTTTTCTCTGTGAGGGATATTACACCGCCGTATCTGCCGAGTGCCCTACACGACAAGCTGAGATCACGAAGATGTCCGACGTCAGGGAGGCCTCCACGACTCACAAGTCTGTGCCAGATCCTCCTGTGCAGTCTGTGCCAGATCCTCCTGTGCAGTCTGTGCCAGATCCTCCTGAGCAGTCTGTGCCAGATCCTCCTGAGCAGTCTGTGCCAGATCCTCCTGTGCAGTCTGTGCCAGATCCTCCTGTGCAGTCTGTGCCAGATCCTCCTGTGCAGTCTGTGCCAGATCCTCCTGAGCAGTCTGTGCCAGATCCTCCTGAGCAGTCTGTGCCAGATCCTCCTGTGCAGTCTGTGCCAGATCCTCCTGAGCAGTCTGTGCCAGATCCTCCTGAGCAGTCTGTGCCAGATCCTCCTGTGCAGTCTGTGCCAGATCCTCCTGTGCAGTCTGTGCCAGATCCTCCTGAGCAGTCTGTGCCAGATCCTCCTGAGCAGTCTGTGCCAGATCCTCCTGTGCAGTCTGTGCCAGATCCTCCTGAGCAGTCTGTGCCAGATCCTCCTGAGCAGTCTGTGCCAGATCCTCCTGTGCAGTCTGTGCCAGATCCTCCTGTGCAGTCTGTGCCAGATCCTCCTGAGCAGTCTGTGCCAGATCCTCCTGTGCAGTCTGTGCCAGATCCTCCTGTGCAGTCTGTGCCAGATCCTCCTGAACAGTCTGTGCCAGATCCTCCTGTGCAGTCTGTGCCAGATCCTCCTGAACAGTCTGTGCCAGATCCTCTTTCTACGCCTATGTCTGCAACCAGCAGACAGTCATCAGATGACAACTTAATTGACGTTGTCAATTCCTCACCTGAAGTGTCTGCTCGATCCCCTGCACCTCCAGCACAAGACACTGGACTACTCGATCCCCTGCACCTCCAGCACAAGACACTGGACTACTCGATCCCCTGCACCTCCAGCACAAGACACTGGACTACTCGATCCCCTGTACCTCCAGCACAAGACACTGGACTACTCGATCCCCTGTACCTCCAGCACAAGACACTGGACTACTCGATCCCCTGCACCTCCAGCACAAGACACTGGACTACTCGATCCCCTGCACCTCCAGCACAAGACACTGGACTACTCGATCCCCTGCACCTCCAGCACAAGACACTGGACTACTCGATCCCCTGCACCTCCAGCACAAGACACTGGACTACTCGATCCCCTGTACCTCCAGCACAAGACACTGGACTACTCGATCCCCTGCACCTCCAGCACAAGACACTGGACTACTCGATCCCCTGCACCTCCAGCACAAGACACTGGACTACTCGATCCCCTGCACCTCCAGCACAAGACACTGGACTGCTCGATCCCCTGTACCTCCAGCACAAAACACTGGACTACTCGATCCCCTGCACCTCCAGCACAAAACACTGGACTACTCGATCCCCTGCACCTCCAGCACAAAACACTGGACTACTCGATCCCCTGCACCTCCAGCACTGGACTACTCGAAGGGGAGAACTTTGAAATCTCTCATCACGACTTCACTGAAGCTGACAACAAGAAAAGATTCCGCTAACCCCTTGACATTGACTCCAAGCAAGTCAAACTCGCAGCAAAAAAGAATTCAGAGTTAACGCAAGCACCATCACAGTATCACAGACAGACAATCACAGGATTGGAATGGACAGCCAACAGCCGTCGCGGCCGGAAGTGTTTCTGGCTGCTCCTCACCTCAGCGAGCTGCTTAGCCAACCCGAAAGTGAAGGGGTATACTTCTTTCGACCCTACCCTGGTGGGTGAGTCAGCTGTATCGCCTCGGCTAGCCTTCGCCGGTACGAGACGGTACCATGACCTTCAGAGTTAAGGCGCGGTTCCTAGAGATCCACGCTGTTTTTGTTGTTTAGATTCAGCTACTCGGAACAAGTTCCAAGTAGCACGGGCTATGGTGAGCCCGTAGCTTACCTGGCACAGGAGTGGGACAAGTAACACGGGCTATGGTGAGCCCGTAGTGGACTTACCTGGCACAGGAGCGGGGCTGTGTTGAGATCCACTCGTTCGGACGGACAGAAATACTCAACGTACTCGACACCACACCCAACGATATCCAGCAGGACGACGATTGATTGATTGATGAAGATTAAGCCACCCAAGAGGTGGCACGGGCATGAATAGCCCGTAAGTGGTGGCCCTTTTGAGCCATTACCAGTATCAAAAGATGATACTGGAGATCTGTGGAGGCGCAACTGCACCCTGCGTGACGGGAGATGTCTCCCGGACCAAATGGTGACCAAATGGAGCAGGACGACGAAGGTATCGTCCTCTTCTATTCGACCAAAGACGACCTTAAATGTCTGTTCACACCTGCCGCCACGTCTGGATTCTATGATGCGGACATTACTCTCATTCTGCCATGACACTTTCAAGCTGAAAGGACCATCTTCGCTAAGAGAGTCAGCTCGTGGATCACTGAGCACGAAGTGGGCTACATCCTGGTCAGCATCAACTCGGAAAACGTCAACATGACAGTTGTTTCAGCAAAGATAATCTCCAACGGCAACGACACACGCTCCACCTTAAAAGTGACCTCCATTACAACTACAACAGCGAATCTAGCCACCACCACAGGATTTATGTGTTTCGGTTTCACCACACCACCTGCCTCAGTACACAAGGAACGTTATTACGAGGTAAGCCAGTGTTACAAGTGCTACCAGTATTCCCACGTGGCCAGGAAGTTCTCCAAGTGTGTATAAGTGCAGTATTTGTGACCAGGACCACCACTATAAAGTGTCGCGCTGATTTCACCCATTGTGTTGTGTGTTGTGATGACCATACTGTGAATGACAGAACTTCTCATCTGTGTTTTGTACGACAATATGAAATTAAGAAGATCTCAGAAGCCAGACAGGCCTCCACAACTCGTGCTCCGTCACCTTTCAACATGCAAGCTGCCATTTTCCTGGACCTCCCGGGTGTAAAAGGCGTCGAGCAGCGTTCCAGCCAATGGGGGCCCAGCTCGCAGTCTGCCAGCCAACCAATCACCGACCCAGCCTTCGCCACCACTTCCCTTCAGCTAATCATCGACCAAGGCTTCGCCACGGCAGTTGCCGGTTCAATCTTCTCAACACCTTGACATTCCTTGCCTATACAGCCCGTCCTCCAAACAAAGATCCAAAAGTGATTCCATGCACCCGCCAAACCCCCTGTTTATGAATGAAAAGCGGTTTACACACGACTCACAACTGCTGACGTTCGAACATATCCGGAACAAGTGCTTCACTGACCAATTTTGTTCGAATCACAACGCTATAAATGCTTCACCCACGTACTACAAATACAAATAATCGCCAACAGAACCTAAACACCTAATCTAACCTAACCTATGCCTATATATGCACAATATGCTAATATATTATAATATTAATTTATACTTGAGAAAATTCCCGTTTTGAATGAACAGCATGTTAAAATTTATGAATGCGTCTGTGGGGTTGACCGCTGAATGTAATGGACTTGAGTCAAGGATGGGTTGGCCTATAATATTGCTGGTTCCAACTACAGGGAATTTGTGAGAATTCTTAACGTTTTCTTCACAGCAAACGGGCTGTCACAGCTGACCACTATAAATATAATAAATAAATAAATAAATAAATAAATGTTTATTCAGGCAAGGTACATACATACAAGAGGTTTTACAAAAATTGATAGATTTATAGATAGAGCTAGTACATACAATGCCTAAAGCCACTATTACGCAAAGCGTTTCAGGCAGGAAAAACATTAAAGACTAAAACTTAATACTAATTGAGATTAAAGTATAAAATGTGTTGAGAACAATTAAAAATCGAGCCACAAGTACCTCCCACCATTGACAATCCATTGTCTGAGAGCGAACCCCCTGAATCTTTTACCATCGAGCATACTGTATCACTCGCCACAGACGTTCCAAGGATCGAGTGTGCACCCACTTAACCATCTGATGTGTACCAACATCAGCTACCCCCCCCCCCCCCCCAGAGCTCCTACTCCGGAACCTAGCACGGCCAAGGATAGCCGGAAGGAGGCTCATCTCCACCAGACTCCATGTGCACAGACCCCACCTACTGCTCCAACACCAATTCAAACTTTGCGTGTTCCTCCGGTAATCCCCCACCATGGACAACAAATCTTCTTTTGAGAACAGGACCTTCCAGGAACTTTTATCAAACCCTTGCACTTCAGCCGACCGCAGAAGGATGTCCCGTAATATGAATGTTAGTCCTCAGACCCTACAAAGCATGGCAGAGACGAAGCCGACAGAGAGATGGTATGTTGATGCAAAGACTCTATACCACTGCAGTGACATTGATGCCATCGGCCCAGCCCTTATCGATCCTGATACTACGTGAAATACCCAAGACCTACCCAGACTGTGAGGCAGCAGATTCAATGGACGACGATATCTCTGTAGGGAGTACTTCCTCTCTTCAACAAAACATTGGATGCAGCTTGCACGACTTTTTAACTATGAAACCTCGAATCCAAGTTCCCCAGTATCAACACGAAGCAAGACCTACAAGAAGCCTGTGAACACTGAAGAACCAAGTAAGAAGAAGAAAACACCATTAGAAATGAGAAGAATGAAGAAGACACAAGAACAACCATCCTGTAACAACTGACATCTACCATCATATACCCTCCGAGACAGCATTAGTATCAAGACTGAGCCCCTCCCCCTCGCCCTCAAGCCTCCCAAGCCGCTAGACAGCCTACTGAAGATTGTTGTATATAGAAGAAACTACAACAACATCGACTACCAACGGCTACTTTGAAGCCACAGTGGATAGGCCACTGATCTTTCTGCCCCTCTCGATGCCGTTCACTTCCTGTTTCCTGAGATTTCATCTTTGTCGTCAAGTTCTTCATTCCCCCACTACACCAAACCCTTTGGTCCTGAAAGTGAAAGATCACAGCTTCTGCACGCTCACCGCTGGAATGGATGTGTCCGCTCCCACACCCACACAGCGCAATAGTCGGCAAGGCGCATTGCACTAGGAGGTCAGCCCCACTCTCATCCTGTACACATACAGGAGGAGAAGGAATGTAATGAGCATTGTCGGGTAGAACGTCAGCAAGCTTGAGCCACTCCACAAGATATCCAAAGCCATTGCGACCCATTGAGGAGTTGGTAGAAGAAGTTTACGGCGCCCCAAGCTTATATGGTCCAAGACCCACCTGCACCATTCTGCGCAAAGGTTCGCCTCTGGGAGAACCTAGTTCTCTCCACCGCCGAGATTCTAGCTCAGATCTCCACCTCAGCCAACATCCTAGAGACAAGAGAGAGTGTCCATCTTCTCTTCTCAAGCGATCTGGACCTTGAAAGATATTCGCCACCGACGCAACGACCATCCTATAAGCTGCCGGCCTCACCCTCACGCCACCACGACGATATCTGGCGGACCGTACAGTGTTTGCCTCGAATATTACCACATGGATCACCGATCGTGATGACGACGACATCCTCGCCAATATCAACACCCAGGACCTGACGCTGACCGTGGTGGCGGCCAAGACCATCACCACCAACAAACCCAACCAAAGACCAACTCTGAAGGTAACCACAGCACAGCAGTCGTGCAGTCGCGACGACACACGCAGCGACTGGACTGCGGCTATGGACTCAGGTGCTACTGTATCACCATACAACCTACCCAAGTGACTAAAGAACGCTACATGGAGCTCCAGCAGTGCTTAAAGTGCTACCAATTTTTACACTACTCCAGGAAGTGCACCGAGAGTGCGCAGAAGTGTAGTCTCTATGCACAGGAGCATCACTACACGGCGTGCACATCCTCCTAATGACGCTGCCTACTCTGCAATAGCACACACTCCGCAGTTTCACCCTACTGCCTCCACCGGCAGATGGAAATCAAGAAGATGATGACAGCATTATCTACCACCATACCTCGCCAAGTAGACCCTCTCCTGTCGGAATTCCCGGTCTTGCCCAGGAGCACAGCTGCGACCTCCTCACCATTGCCCGGCCTCTGGGGACACCCCACCCAACCGACCGCACCACCTCCGTCTACACTGCCACCGATCCAGCCTGCAGCCTCCCCCCCTACTACCCGTCCTCCTCCACCTCGCCGATAAAATGGTAGGTAGCGACACCACCCGCAATATCCACATCATCAACAGGTTGCTCGTCGCGAATGGCCTCCCGACTGCAGGTTTTTTTTTTTTTTTTTTTTGAGATATATACAAGAGTTGTTACATTCTTGTACAGCCACTAGTACGCGTAGCGTTTCGGGCAAGTCCTTAATCCTATGGTCCCTGGAATACGATTCCCTGCCGCGAAGAATCGTTTTTTCATCCAAGTACACATTTTACTGTTGCGTTAAACAGAGGCTACAGTTAAGGAATTGCGCCCAGTAAATCCTCCCCGGCCAGGATACGAACCCATGACATAGCGCTCGCGGAACGCCAGGCGAGTGTCTTACCACTACACCACGGAGACTGCAAAGTTGCACCCAACGACTTCCTCC